TAGCGGCAGCAGAAGCAGCAAACTGCATTGCAATTATTGTGAAATTCTACTACAATGGAAATTTCTACAACGTTTTCCACTGCCCCTTGTCTCGCTTCTTCCCTCTGTTTCGTTCGTTTTTCCGGTCTACGTTTACGCCTACGTCTACGGTTACGTTTCTACGTCGTCTATGAGAGTGCCACAGCTTTTGGGTGTGTGGGCGTTTTTGGTGGGCGTGTAGGCGTGACTCTACTAGGCCCATTGTTTAGGTGGGAATTGTGGGTGGGTAGTCGCTTTTTTTGATGATGGCCCAACAGGCAGCACAGTAAGCGTATTCTTTTGTCCTCTTTCTCTCTCGCTCTCTCATGTCACAGTAGAATTTTCTATAGTTGCCAGAGACCAACAAAAATATAATATAATAATTTTTCTCGAAAGTTTTCTCCTTCCTTTAGATACTTTTCCATATGGAATGCATGATGAAATGGTGTAATTTGTATGTGAAATGTCCTTTAGGTAACAAGAAAATTAGCTTCGATTTAGGGAATGGGAAATACGAAGTTCAATTTTATAATTACAACAAGAAAATAAAAGAACAGAAATACATACATATATAATTTTTTTTTGGTATTTAAAAAGAGGAATTAAAAGAAAGGCTAATACACCCCTTGTATTTTGTAGCCTTACTCAAAGAAACAACATACGAATAAATGGGTGTGAATATCGATACATACATAGATAGAATTAGTATAACAGATCTCTTTACATTTTTTCTGAAAAAGAGAGATCGCCAGTTGTATATTTCAGTTGATTTTAATTGAAGTAAATTTATCTTTCAGATGCATATTTATTATATGGTGGTACCTTTTAGATGCTAATAGATTGAATGCATATTTCAGCTGCAGCTGGAACCGCACCGCTTCTGGGTGCTCTGGAACTTTAGTTTGACTTTCAAATTTCGTGGAATCTATTGCCTGGAGAAATGAGAAACTTTTTCAATATACCAATACGCTGTGTATATCCCCCCTTGCCTTTTGGGGGGTAAACAACCTCTCTCCCTCGTAAAGTTGCAACTTCTGTTGTGTTTTTTTTTTTAATATTTTTTTTTGGTGGTATTGTTGCAGCGTTGTCGTCGTTGCTGACGTTGGGAAAACTCATTACGATGCCGCATGAGTGACATTTCCACGCTGTCAACATGACACATTTCATAGAAAGATATACATATGTACACTTCCCTGCCGCCCACCGCCCAGAGGCACACGACGACTCGTTGTTTGCGTGTGTGTGTGTGTGTGTGTGTGGGGCACATGCAACCGCATTCCCTGTCATGCAAGCCGCACAGTGGCTTAATGCCACCCCCCCACGCTCTACAGTGAGCGGCCCTTCGACCCTCTCATTCCCTGGGGCTCATCATCAGGGAATTACAACGCATTTCTTCACTTTCGCATCGCTGGCTTCTAAGCAGCTTATTATTGGTGTGTGTGTGTGTGTGTATGTGGTTTCGTGATGTCTTTTGTTTTTCCTTTGTGCGAAAATTGAATTTTCTTTCAGGTCTCTCATACTGCCACACTCATACCCCCCTCCTCACCCAACCCCACCCGTCGCCCCTCTGTGCGTGTCAGAATGCATCGCTACGTCCGTTGCCGTCTAATGGCAACGCATGTCAACATTTGCTGAGCTTTTGTGTTTAAATATTACTAATACGACATGTTGTCGTGCCACATGATGTGGTGGGATAAGCAGGAGGCGGAGGAGCAGGGGCTTGAGTGGTGATTATGGGGCGTGTGGACGCACGACTCCCTCTATTATGTGCGGCCCTAATTGAATTATGTTCTGTGAATGTTCTGCGATGATTAAAAAAAATGGAAAAGGCAACATGAAAGCAGAGTCAACGATGGATGGAATACCCTTTTTAAGGGCATAGATTTTTTGTTTTTGTTTTTATTTGTATTTAATTTAAATGGAAGTTGGATACGGTTTGTGTGATATTTGTTACAGATTTTGGGTACTTTCAATATTCTAGTACGCTCTTTGAGCTACTGTCCTCTCACTCCGGAATAGTAGATGAAAGGAAAGATTTTACTCTAGAAAAGCTAGAGAATGGAACGATGAAATAAATGGCAAAACTTCCCATCAATAGGGTATGCCAGGGTATTATCGCATAAATGTCAGAGACCTGGAAGTTGAGAGTACTTTTTTCCTGAATTAAGTTGTCAGCGAAGCGGCGACAGGTCGCAGTTCGCTTGGGTCAGGGTCAGATGTTAGAGTGGAGGAAACGGAACGGAACGCACGCGATGGATGGAGATGGAAATGGGTAAACGAGTGGTGGGGTGGGGTGGGGTGGGGAGGGGAAACTTTTGCGCGGGATATGCAATTACAGATGCAGTCATAATACATTAGACTTTTCCTTGAGGCAAAACTTTTGGATTGTTGTCGCGAGTCAAGAGTTCGATGGGGCGAATGGGGCTATGGCTAGGAGGAAGAGTGGCATGCCACCTGCTGTGCAGAATGAAATTTACAATGAATTCGAATGGAAAAGTTTAATTGAAAGCCAGCCAAATAAAAAGAAGAAATATCTTGAAGAGGGCAGAAGGAGAACTAGATTAAGTCGGAGACTGAATCCTGGCGGCAGATGCTAACTGAAAAGATAGTTGCAGGAAGGAAAAAAAATACTGAAAGAAAAGAAAAGCCGAGGGAAATGATACGAAATGAGAGGCAACGCAGCAGCAGTGGCAGGAAGAAGAAAATCTGCTGTTGCTGCTGCTGCTGCTGCTGCTGTTGCACAAAAGATGTGTTGTTTGCTCTGCAGTTAAATTAAATGAAAAAGTTTACAACTTTTTTAATGAAATCATTTTCCATGCAGTACGACGAGAGAGGCATAAACAAAACAGCCGAACCCAAACCCAAACCAAAAGCCTATCCCCCATCTGACAGGAGAGGTTGCATGCAGCAACAAAAGAAAACAAAACTCTGCAGAAAAGAACAGAAGAATGGGCGCAAAAAGTTGCATGCAAAAAGTAGATAGAGACTGAAAAAGAATCAAAAGGATGGGCGAGTGTGTGTGGAGAAGGATATGCCTTGTGTTTGTTCTTAAGTTATGTGTCTTTTATTTGATTTTCCACAGAGAGTGAGAGAGACAGAGAGAGTGGGAAAAGTGCCTCCTTCTTGCTTTAAGCGTTTAATGTGTCGTATGCGTAATCGGAGTTGGAATCGAAGCAAGGAATCGAAGGGGCATTCAAGTGTGTTTGAGAATGATGGAGGGAGGAGGAGGGGACCTCCAGGAGCATCAGCCAAAGGCTAATGATGCTCATCCACTTGGCATTCTCTCTAACCCATGGTTGTCCTTGGCCAACAAGAGTCGACAAGGGTCGGGAATTTGTGTCATGGCATTGCCACACACACACACACACACACATATCTGTGTCCTCTCTATCTGTAATACGTGTGTGTTTGTGTGTGGCTTAGCTAATCCAACTGTCACTTTCAGGGACACAGCCCGCGCGAGTGAGAGCAAATGGCTGCGGGAATTATGCCAAAAATAAAATAAAACCAGATCCGAATAACCGGAAAAACCAGTAAGGTTAACCAACAAAACACACAAAGAGGCAGGATGCCCCCAAAGGCATTTCTAGGATTAAGGGTTTTCCGTGGGCGAACGATTAAAGCTTTAAGTGCAAATTGGAAATTGGATTGAAAACTCTCTCTATATTAATTATAAGGAAAAAGTGGAAATATATTTACCAGGAAGCGGGGCTCCTTTCAACACCTCTGAGATCAAAATCGGCAGCTAACGGATATCCAGGAATTGCATCCATAGCTGCAAGAATAAATTCCCCTGAAAGTCAGCGAAAACGACTCTCAAAGTGGAATACTATTTCTCCAGAAAAACCACCACTTGAGCTATCATTTTCTTTGCAATTTCCACGAAATAAGAACTGATTCTGGTTCCCAGAATGAAATCATTTCTCTATTCCCGCAGTTCGGGAGGATTAAATAGGATTTACTATGAAACACCCACATAACACAAGGGCGAAATGAACTAGTATTTCTATAAATAATATGCACTGGCATTTATTTCGTTTACAAAAATCTTCTTTCAAACGTAAATTTCGATTTTATTTAATTTATATTTTTGCATCTTTTCCACTTAAATCTTTACTAAAAGTTTTTCTTAGATATGTACAAATCTCTTTACGAGTATATTCACTTTATTTAACCTCTTTTTCCTCCTCACTGCCATTTTCTCTATCCCTTAATGCACGCATTTCCGTTTCCCTTTTTTTTCGTTTTTTATTTATTACGAATCTTTCTTTTTCCGTCATGAATTTTTATGTTTTATTGCAGCTGTTGCTGCTGTCAACACCCACTGACTATCCACTGAACGTCCTTCATTGCTGGCTCCTACTCCCTCCTCATCCTTTTTTTTTTTACCATGACAGCCTTCTTCTACCTCTGTGCTTTGCCGTGACAGCTTTCTGCTCTCTAACCCCACCTTCCCACCGCTCACTGCTATGTTCATGCTTTTATTGGCACTGTGATTTCTGGTGACTGAATCCCAGCGGAGGATTACGCTTCAGGGCACACATAACTCTGCTGCTGCTGCTGCTGCTCCGCATCGTATTAATCATTGAGAAAAAGAGAGTGAAAATGCAGTTTAATTTGGCATGAAGTGCAGTCGCGGTTTGGGGTTCGTTCTCGGTTGGTTTTCTATCGGTAGTTAAGCGGTTTATATAACCGATAACAACCTGTAAGTCCGTAAAGTCATATCGCATTTGATGACAGCAGTGCACGGCACTGCAGCGGCTGCTGCATGCACCACCCCCGGCTAACGATGCTGCGGCAAGTTGTGTGGTGACTTTTATGGCGTCATATTTTTATGGGTTGCATGCAGCACCATGCACCCCCTGTGGATGACATTCCAGTGGATGGATTCTTGAAGTAACGATGGCTTTTATGGGAGGCGGGCATACAATGTTGATAGAACAAAGTATTTCCAGACTTTTTTTTTACTTCAAAATTTTCAAATTTAATATTATTTTCAAACCATGTAAATTCTACAAAAAAAATATAAATAAAATCTAAATTAAATTCCAATCAAATGGCGAATGTAGAAAACGCAGCACCCCTTTCCGAAAACGAGAACGAAGATGCAGATACTCCTGATAAAAAAGAAACAGACGCACTAAAAACTGAGGGACAAGAGGGAGAAACCACCGATATTGCAGTGGAAGAAGGTGCCTCAAAGGAGGAAGCAGCAGAAGGGACAGCAGAAAATGATGCAGAAGAGGGCGAAGAAGAAGAGCAGGATGACGAAGAAGATCCCTTCGAGCACCTGGACTTAAACGACGAGGACAACGAGGAAGAGCAATCCCTCTATAAGGAATATCTATCGTTAATCAAAGAAATCAATTGTCAGAATGGCATCATTCAGGAGCTGAAGGACCGCTCGAATGAGTTGAAGCAAAAGAAATGCCGCTCGGGGAACGAGAGCCAGGAATTACAGCGTCTACGGATGTGCCAGGAACAGGAGAATATACGACTCCGTACGATGATCAATCGAGCAGTGCAGCTGCAGAATTTTGGCTCCCGTCGGCTGTACGGCGAAGTGGAACTGGAGATTACGGAATCCGAGCAGACGGTCTTCCTGGCTGGCGTTCAATTTGCGGATGTGCAATGTCCTAGCTCTTCTGTGGGCGATGGCTGCCAGTTAGATTCAGATTCGGATTGGGAAGCGTAGGATGGATGAGTGGTGGGTTGTAGGCCTTTGATATTGATTGGAAATAAAGCTACACAGTTATGGAAAATGTCCAATTTAAGATACAGAGTGATATACCTGATACCTGAATAATCAGCAAAACAGTAGAAAATCCCAAAGAAATTCGAGATAAAAGAGAATGGGAAATTCGTTCACAAATAACAAGAAACTCCCATTTAGATCCCATTTCTAGACACTTTTGGGTCCTAAATGCTTCCTAAATTCCATACAAATTCCACTATCCACTATCATTCTCTAAATGAGAAGACTCTTGAATCCAAAGAACCCTAAAGGACAACCAAACAGCAGGTAATACCCATCATCATTCTTCCACCAATTAGTTTTGGATTAAAGCGGAACACCCTCCTTTAGAGCCATTCTTTCACCAATCTTTTTAGAAAAACCCCAACCCCACTTAAGCCCCAACTAAGTTTAGTGTGCTGTTCTCTGCTCTTAGTATCTCAACTAAATGTCATCATTTTGCCATCAGTTGGTTGGCCAGAAAGCTTTTCCTTCCGTTCGCAAGGGACCCTCTTTCGCATCATTGCCAAGACATTTCACACTTCAGAGGAGAGGCCATTGGCCCCCTCTCCTTCCCACACACCAATTCCTACCATCAATTTGCTGCTCATCATCCACACGACGCAATGATTGGTGGGTGGGCATGGGAGGGCACAGTTGGTGGTGGGGCAGCAGCTCATTGAGCAATTCATTCAATCGGCGAATTCAATAAAGTACAACTAATAAAAAGAATAAAGAAAAACCAACTCTCGAGAATGGTGGGGAATGGTAATGGAAAATTGTGCAAGGAACGTGGCTGGCTGGCTGGCTGGGCTCTGCGAGCAGGGAGAGAGACAGAATTACAATTTTCTCGCCATTTGCTTGTCTTATTTTGCCCTCCTATCATAATTCCAAACAGCAGCAGTGGGAAAAGGCGAGAGAGTGTGAAAGAAAATCCCGCGCATTTCGCATTCCTCTTCCTTTCTTCCCCCAGGAGCTGCGTTAGTGGTCCATCAAATGCTTGTAAACAAAGCCAGAAAACGACAATGGGAATGACGAGAAAGATGGGCCATTGGCCATTACATGGAACATGGTTCGACGCGATGCGATGCGAAATGGGAATGAAACGGTGGGGAAGCAGCATTCCAAAAGGGTGGAAGAAGGACCAGGAAGGAAGGCAGTATCGAAGGGTATATCACTGGGAAAGGTCAGGAGACTTTTTGGGCTTGAAAATGCTGCCAAAATCACAATTGAAAGATTGGCCAAAAATGCATTCCATTTCATTCCGCAGGCTACATCCTTAGCCCACCCTTCCATTAAATATACCCTGCCTAAAAGTTAGGTAAAAGGGGGAAACGAAACCCGAAGTACAGTCGGAATGGCAGAATATATCCCAAATGGCGGGCGAAGTGCAGGCAATGGCAATGAGCACAAAAACACAGCGAATGTTTTTTTGCCCCCAGACAGAATGAGGGGATCAAAGCAAAACGCGCAATTCACACACACACACACACACTAAAAGGAGCAAGCGAGACAGACGGGGACAGAGACAGATGTAGCGAAACGAAACGAAACGAAGGGGAGCTCTTGTCGGGGAACAACAGTTGTGTTGTGTTGGCGCTGTGTCTGGACTGTGGGACTGGGACTGTGCTCCTGTTTCTCGTCTCTGCCACCAAGTGACTCTCGACGCCGCCGCCGCCGCGTTGTGCCACGCCCATTCGCTGCTGGCGCATCATCTCGTCGCGTCTCTTCTGTTTTTGTTCTCTCTTTTCTGTGTCTTCTCTCGGTCTCTGTCTCTGTTTGTAGTCTGGTCAACGTCAAAACAAAGTCAACTCTGGCTTGAAACAGCAATAACAACAAAAAAGGGGAGCGTTTTTGGCGCGAAAGCGGGGAATTATAGAGGTTCTGGATACCCTACAAATTATATTTGAACCATTGAACCATTTATTCTATGGAAGCTGTAAGATATAGTCGCAAGATGTATTTAGTATTTATATATTTAGTTTAGTATTGTTCACAGGGATCTTTGTTTGCATCTGTTTTCTGCTTGGAATCCTGGGATTCTGACATAGAGTTAAGGTTTAAAGAATGTTTTATCATAGATAGGAATTTCCCTCGTTAAGCTGCAGCCTGTCATATCCCATTCTAGGGTATGCGAAAGGGGGAATGTTTTTGGCGCGCAAATCCAGAAAGCAATCGAGGAAGAAGCAGCAGCAGCGGCAGCGGCAGCAAAGAGTTGACTGCAGCGTCGACTGCGACGTCACCTTGCGTCCATTCAACCCGTAGACCGCGTCGCAGTGGAGTGTACCCCAGACACAAAAACAAATACGAAGCAACAGACAGGGACAGAGAGAGAGAGTGAGGGAGAAGGAAACAGTGAAGAAGAGAGAGAGAGAGAGACGGGAAGACAGAGAGTAAATTTCATTTAACTGCCGCTTCGATTCGATTCCATTCCATTTTCCATTTGGTTCTGTTTTTCAGGGGGGTGGGGAGCGGGCACTGTCTTCTTTCCCCACCACTTTTTGCACTGTCTGCGGCTTTAGGGGGGTTTTTTTTTATGCGCCTGTGCGCCTTCCCACGTTTACTGTCCATCTCTTTTGCTCCTTTACATGGCTCTTCGGCATAGCTCTGTCTCTCTCTTTAGAGCCATGACATGTGCAAGAAAAAACCCAAGAAGAATTCTTTGTGGCGGCGGCATCGGGACACCGATCTACTAGTCGAGGCGTAATTATGGTTGTTCTCTGGAGAGAGAAACAGCGTCTCGAAGAATCAGAGTTCGATGCACCACTGGTGGTGCCCACCATAAGCTGCCACACAATAAGAGGCACAAGGGGCACAGAAGGCAGCGAGTGAAGACACTGAAAGAACTTTGCACACAACAAAAAAAGAAGGGGGGGGGGGGAAACAGAAGGTGCAGAATCGCAAAAGCGTCTCGTGTTGATGGTTTTATGTCTAACAGATGCCACCTTTTACATGTGGATGACTGACTCTCTACACAACGATCCAGCAGCGATCCAACGATCCAGCGATTCACCGATCCAACGATCAGGATGCGGTCAGATGCGGCTGGGCTGGGGGGGATGTAATGTTGAATGGTGTTCTGTGCTAGGAAGATCATCGAGAATGGGGGAATTCCTCACCACTGGCTTTGGTGCTGGCTGCTGGGTGCTGGGTGCTGCTGCTACAGTGCCATAAAAATGGAATGCATTGACTTGAGTAGATGACTAAGAAGGTTATTAACCCACAAATGAGTTCAAAGTTCTTTCACTGCATATAGAATGGGAACGTCGAAGCCGCCTCTTATGGGTGTCTGAACCATGAGGTACAGTCGATAGAAAACAGTTTTCGTACATTTTTATTGTTATTGGCATTTAAGCACAGGAATAAAGAAATTCCTGGAAATTTCCACTTAAGATGTTTTACAGGTTTTCATGGAATTACCCAGTGGATACGAATTGAGGATTAAAGTCTGGGGGTGCTTAAAAGTGACTAAGATTCGTGATTCAGCCAGCCATCAGGAGCGGGCAATGAAACGCTCAAATGGAGGCCACAATTCACCTGTAGCTGTCCAATCTCACATCGAAGTACAGTTGCGTCGTGTTAGCAAATTTGTGTATTAGCCTCTGGTATTCCTGCTGTGAACTTTGACCTTTTGCGACCCCTTTCACTCACAACAACAACCAACAAACATGAGCAATAATTCGCCGCCCCCAAAAAAGATTTGACACTCCCCCATTTTCAGGGGTGACAGTAAATTGCGTATCGTTTTTTTCTGTTGTGTTCTGTATGTTCGGTTCCGAGAAAAGTTTTCTAAATTAATTTCGCATAAAAAAAAGTGCCCCCAAGCCTTGCCACAAAACAAAGAGCAACAGCAACAAAAGCGGCAGGCGCCATAAAATTTGATGTGCAACTGATGATGGCATGAGGCGAGTCTCTTGGGGAGGATGTGGGCTGTGGATAAGACGCCGCCGCCGCACCCACAAAGGTCACAGAGAGTCGGAGACGGGGCAGGCAGGCAGGCAGCAGCAGCAGCAGCAGCATCATCGTCTGAGGGTCAAAGTTCAGAGACGCGTAAATTTTTGTACGCCGCTGGGGGACACACCGCGTGGTGTTTTGCTGCTGTTGTTGTTGTTGTTGTTGGGCCAATCATTCCGTGGCTGTCGTCTGGAAAACTTCGCTCCTTCTGTCGGACAGAGGACAACAAATCACTTGGAGTGGAATATTGTCCTCGTCGTTGCCGTTGCCGTCGTCGTCGTCGACGTCTGGCGATGTCTACGCACCCGAAAACACAGCAGTAATCGACAGGGACCGTCGACAGCTGCAGACGCGATGCGATGCGAGAGTACTTTCCCTAGTTCAGCTCTGGTGTACTCCGCATCTTCGGATCCCATCCTTCTGCTTTTTGGCGCGACGCGTGAGCCTTGCCGTGGGATGAGCTAGGGAGTTCCCTTTAAGACGTTTGCTGCAGAGTTGAGTGCGTGACACGAGGCTGAGGCAATTACCGAAAGGTAATTACATTTTTTTGGGTTTATTTTTAAATATTTCTTGTTTCTCCGTCCATCGATTATAATGGATAATTTTGTATCCCTAAATTGAATTATTTTCGATTTATTTTATTTCTTTTCGGTTCATCTCCATTGCCAAAACATCTACACAGTCTCCTTCTTTCGTTTCGCCTTAACTTTTCCTTTCTTTACAAATAATTTTTTCGGTTTCGAGTTGTCTGCGTCTTTGTCTTCGTCTTCGTCTTGGTCTTGTTGTTCTTCCCGTTTGTCTGTCTCTGTGCTTCTGTCTGTTTGTCCTTTGGTCTTTCTTTCGTCTGTGCTTCTGTCCGTTGTCTGTCCTTTGGTCTTTGTTTGTTTTGTCTGCTCCTCTGATTTGGCGCGCATATGTTGCTTGCTTGCTTGCTGCTCCCTTTTCGAATATCTTTTGGGATTTCTTTGGGATTTTTTATTTATCTAAAATAGCTGGAGAGTGTAGATTGAAGAGGGTATCAGAGAGCGCGGAGGAGCAGCAGGACGGACGACTGGGCTTGGCGGCTGTGTAATGTCGCTTTGATTTGTGGCAATCGCGCGCTAAACGTCGCAACATTTTTGAAGTGAAATTGCTCGAATTGTTCGACGTCTGGGAGTCTACAGTCTACAGTCGTCGTCTGCCTACGTCTACCTCCTCCCTCTCTCTCTCTCACGACAATGACAATATGCCTCCGTCTGTGGCATTCGGTTTTCTGTTTCTGGTTTTTCCTTTTGGGTGCGTAATTTTTGGGGGGTTGTACTGGTAGTCGCGTTGCGGCGCTTCGCGTCGCGTTGAGTCCTTGTTTTCTCCTCGAGAGTTGTCCTTGTTCTTTTCGGTGGGTGGGGGGGTTGGAACTGTAAATAAACATGTTTGCCAATATGTCGCTCGAGGGAGTCGAGTCGGCTTCTCGTCGGAGTCTCTACTGACATTGTTGACTCCTTTGTCCGTTTCGGGATCTTGTAGTGACAACCCACTTGCACCCCTCCTCTTTCTCTAGGATTTGTGTGTGTGTGTGTGTGTGTGGAAGGGGGCATGCATCCCCTAGACAACATCAAGATGTTGAGAGCATTTGAAATGCAAAGTTTTCTATGCAAATTGCAAAATGAATTAAGGCCCTCGCTGGAGGCTGCCTGCCGCCTCCTGTCAAGCTACAAAGATGGTTTTTCTGAAGG